GGCAAAGGATGCTAGCGTTTGTATACGCGGGTTATGGTTTTGGTTTTGCCGTTGCGGCTGGCTGGCCAGAAACGAACAGGAAAACAAAGGGGCTCGATGCCGAACCAGCCAGCAGCAATAGCAGACATCGGAAAACCCAAATAACATCAACATCATCAACAACATCAACAACAACAACAACAACATCAAAGCGGATGTTTACCGATTTGCAGCCGTCGACTGTTGACATCAGGGCGTGCAGTCGGTCGCACGAGAACGTAAACAAGTAAGCAGCAGCCTTGGCCGATTCAAGGAAGTTAAGCGCAGAGGTCGCCGACGTGCAATTGGACATCGAGAGGCTGTCAGCGAAGCGACGTGAAGCACATGAAGTAGAAGAAGGTACAGAATCCGGGATCCGGTCGGACGACGACGAAGAGGAACTACTTCTGTTGGTGACGGCGACCATGGGCTCGTTAGTGGACCAAGCGAGTGACCGTAACGAGGGCGAAGAAACTCTCTAATCCTGCCTTCGCCTTAGCTATCGACCTGTGACTCTTGCCATGTCTGCCAACCATTCGCTCTCGTCGTATGACTAACGCACTCGCACTACCTCGTCAACAAAGCCCCCGGCAAATGATCAACACTGTTGCTGTTAAATCGTAAATCGTAAACAGCAGACACGGCGGCAGTCTCTATTACGACAACGATCATCAAATCGTAAACAACGCTGTCGTCGTCTTTCTCAATCCTGCCTACTGCGATCTCGTTCCCGTTCTCGTTCTCGTTCCGGTAATCGTCGTCGTCGTCGTATGACGTACAAAGCAAGCATCATGTGTCGTATGATTATTGATGATTAAATAGCTGACGTCACAAACAACATGTTTCATTAAAGGAGGACAAGGGCGCATCATAAAATGCGCCGGTGTCTTTGACTTAGTCGTACAGGTATGTTCCGACTTTTATTGAAACGAGATGCCCATCTCCTCCTTCATGGTCATTGTTCGAATGAAATACTGGCTCATGGAATGGCTCGTTTTAGCATTAGCATAGCTTGGCACGAGAACGTCATCGTAGTCACTGGAGTACATGCATAGTTTACCGCTACTGGTCGTACTTTTGTTCCTGAAGGTTGCAGGTGCTCTCCGCAAATTTTTGTGTTGAGACATGATGGCTTTTGGTCTTCTACGTCAGTGTTCAATTATGAATTCCGCAATACACAACTAGGGAACCTATATAGGTATGGTATGAGGTGAAATGGGTATGCATGTATTTATCAATCTACGGTAGTTGTGAATGCCTATTACAAACCTCCAAAACAGTCCTAAACCGGGAAATTATATATCTCATCAAGTCTTTAACGCCACTGTGTCTAGAAGGATTTGAGGGAAATGCCTCTGTTGACTCTGCTTCAGACTTGGGTTTTCTCTTG